TATGCAGCACAGCACCCCCAGATAGCCTCCGCCGGCTTGGATGTCCTGGTGAATGCTGTGAGCTGAAACCCACATAACTTCAAGTTGCTGAGGTTGAGAAACAATGTGGTAGAGGTTAAAATGGAGCTCTTCCATTTAATTAGTTGGATAACCACATCAGTGTTTTATGTAATTATGTATTGCTCCATTTTAATTTAGTTTTGATTGAATTGTTTTTATTTTCCAAGTATTTTATTGTGGATATATTATGTCTACATTGCCAAGAGGCACATGATTGCGGCAGTATATAAACACTAATGACCTAGTAAATTCATAAAAGCATGCCAAGCCAAGCCAAAACAATCACATCATGGCTTGTAGGAACTTGGTGGGAAAAAACCCAACCACCCAAAATCTCCAAGCTGGGTTCAGAGCTCTTCTGAGACTGTAGAAAATGATGGCCAGTTGATCTGGATCAGGACAGGCCTGGAAAATGCATCTTTTATCAGAGGCTGTTGGTCACAAACCATCCTGGGGAGCCTCACAAGGATGTGCTTGGCTTTAGATACCCCATAGCGACCTTTGGGGTATGAGCAGAAAGATCCTCTCTTTCCAGCAGTTGTCTTACCATCAGTCTTGAGCGATCACCTACTTGAACATTGAGGCTTTTGATGGAGGACCCTGGCAGCTGGGTGTGTCAAGGCCTGGCACCTCCACCTAACCTTGGTGCTGAATCTGGATTTGAGGCACTTTGGGAGAAGAAGGGTTGGCAAAGTAGCTGCTGGAGGGCTCTTCCCCAGATGACTTACTGCAGATCAAGGTCTTTTCAAGAGCTGAGCTCTTGGGGAAAGACTTGATAAATCTGGGAGAAAAGTGAACCCTGTTCCCAAACCAGGAGGCCTCACAATCAAAAGATGGGAGAGAAATGTGGGCCTGGCAGACCTATTGCCTCTGGGGCCATGAAATTAAACAGCTAGAGCTAATTGTAATTCTTTGGATGAGAGGGCCAGAGAAACTAGAAGTTAGAGCTTTGTGCAATTAACAGGTGTCTTGTAACTTCAGTATTGAGAGAGCAACCAAGAGTGACTACAGGCTGTCCTGGAAATTATAGTTACGCTTCTCCGCTTGGGCCCAATGGCTGTAATGGGGGAAGCCACTCCACATAGACAGCTCCCAATGTTGACAGAACCAATTGTAGAATTATTGTATCTTTTCCTACCTGATGGATGGGCTTCAACTCCCATAATTCCCAGCCAAAGGATGTTCTTCAGTGTTCCAACCCAGCCCTGCAGTACCTCAAAGAAATGTTGGTGGACACAGTGAACATTTTTATGAGCTGATAATGTTTGGTTGGGTTGGAAGGCATGACCAAGGCCAGTGTTGGGTTATCAATTTGTTATTGCCATTGGCGTCTGACCTACATGAATTTTCCTTAGAGTTAGCTTACGGTACTCTCACAGGGAAATGGTGGAACTGCTGCCACAAGATGTACTGATGGCCATCAACCTGGATGGCTTTGAAAGGGGAAGAGGCAAATTCGTAGAGGATGAAGCTATCAGCAGCTACTGATCTTAATGCCTACATCTGACCTCCAGCATTGGAAGGGTCATTGGCTCTGGGAACTGTGAGCAGAATGGAACAATTGTGCAGATGTCATGTTTGCTGGCTTCCTGTGGGCTACTGAGAAGATACAGTGTTCAGTGAGATAAGCAGCAACACTCTTATCTTCTCTCTATCTTTGCAATTATTTAACACAAGCGTGTTTCTGACCAGCAACTCCCAAGGGTCATCCTTGTCTCCCAGCCCATCACTCTGAGAAAGCTGGAAAGGTTCCCACAAGGAGTAACCATGCAAGTGGCATGCCTCTCCAGGGACTGCTGTGACGGTCACAGTCCAGTCTAAGTTATGCTCTAGACAACAGCCATATTCTCTGCTAGGAACCATGCTGGGTAATTTTGTAGACCTGAACCCACATCCTAAGGATAGAGAGCTACAACAGAGAATCCTACCTGTGGAGCATCGCTCGAACAGGTAATGTAGCCATCAGGTAAAGCATGCAGGTGATGGCCCCTTTCCCAAACGCACCTCGTCTCCTCCATGCTGTCACTTTTCCGCCTCCTTCTCTGTGTGGCTTCCTCCAGAGGTGGAGTTAGCCTTGGCGGGGGGCTCCCCAGGGGGCTTACAAAGGTCCCCCGGCTGATGTGAGGCTCACTCAGTTTCCTTTGCAAGTGGTGAAGGCCGGGCCCCTCTCCGTTGAGAAGGAAGTCGGAGTTGGTCCTCCGCAGGAGGCAAATGTGGTCTTGCCCCCCGTGCTTGTTGGAGTGGAAGGATGCGTTGGAGGGGTTGCAGCTATGGGTAGGGGAGCTGCTGGACAGGCTCTCGTGGTCACTGAAGGTTACGTAGTCTTCCTCCTCTTCCTCCTCCCCCTCACCACTTTGCACCCCGTTCACAGGGAAGCCGTTTCCTTCCTGTGTCCCAGCTGTTTCCTTGCTCACCTTGAGACGGCTCCCTGGGTTTGCAATCTGTGTGGTTCCTTCTTTGGGTGACGCATTTGTGGTGTTGGTCCTTGGCTGATGTACGAGAGGGTCCTCTGCCATCACTGCTCCCTCCGCAGGTCCTGTTTTCTTGGAGATCGGGTCCATCGCGTGGACTGCCCTTGGTTTGGGGACTGGGGAAGCAGCACCTCCGTCATCTGCTTGGGGGTCCAGCAGTTGCTTCAAGTGCTGGTTGTTGGCCAGAGTGGCGAATGTCTCTCCATTGACTGGGTTCTTGGGAGTCTTTTCTGTGGGGCTGGTGGCCAACGGTTTTGGGGGAGGCTCCTGGTTCTGGGCCGGGGAAGGGGCAGCTTCCACCCGGGGGGGAGAAGTCAGGGAAGGTTCTTGGCCAGGTTTGCTCTTGGCCTCTTGGGCCTCTTGCTTGAGCATCTGCCTGTGCCGGGTGCTGGCCTTGGAGATGTCGCACACCTTGATGCGGTTGATTTGGGACAGCTGAATGTTCTTCACCTTGGGGTCGATAATGTTGATGTAGCCCAGAACCTCGCTTCCGGGTTCTGGGTCAGGCTCCACCCACGTGGGCAGGTAATCAAACATGTTGGCCCTCTCCAGGTTGAGGAGCCCCGGGTGGACAGGCGGCACCATCTCGACAGGGTTGCTGGGCCGCTCGGACACGCGGCCTTCGGGGATGACCTTGCTTTGGGCTTCTGCCCGTTGTTGTTCGGTGAGAATCTTGTCACTGCTGGCTTTGCCACTGACCATCTGCTCGGTGCTTTTCGCCTTGACGAGGGCGTACTTCGGATTGACCATCTTCTTGGCCGTGGAGTTGGCCGGGCTCACTGGGATAACAGAGGGCAGGATGACCGGCTCGGGTTCCGGTTCCTCTCCCATGCGGATGGATTTTAGGCTGATGCTCCGAGACATGAGGTACAGCTCCTGGAACTGCTTGTCAAAGGCCTCAACCACCTGTCCCGAAAGGACGGAAATGACATTCCGGTCGGTCCTTGCAGCTGACCAGGTGAAGCTGGAGGGGAACACAGGAGGGTTGAGTGGGGGGCTGACAATCTCTCAGAACATAAACGAAAGAAAGAAGAAAACTGGCTAAGGAGGAACTCTATTTAAACCTGCTAGACCAGTGT